TTCTGCCAACCAGCCAATGGTTTGAATGGACTTGACCCCGGACCATTTTGTGTGCAGAAGATACAAGGACCTTGGGCATCTGCCTCAGTTGCGCAGAAAGCAACTAAAGCACTGATACTTTACCTTAAGTCAACAAACCTGAGCGACCGCCTGTGACTGTGGTTGCTCCCGAGTGTGCTCGTGATTTTGTGTACCTTCATCTTTCTGCAACCTCTTTTTCCCCTTTATCCCTTCCCCAGTGCAGAGTAGCAAACCGGATGTGCGTCTGGTTAACCTCACTGCCTTTCCTTGCATCTTTATCTCTCTCTCTCTCTCTCTCAACAGTGTTGACGTCACTTCGTCCGCCTTCTATCTAAATCCAGTCAGTCTCTCTTGAAGACCAGCGGTTATCTTGCCTATTTGCTATGGGCCTGGCCCATGTCTATTTCTTTTTCTTGTTTTCAACTTGACATCCTCAAGCCCGGTTTGCTCCCTGACCCACTCAGCTCTCTTTTAGTCTCTTAGGTTAACCCCTATTGTTTTACTTTCGATGCATCGCTGCGTCGTCCTCAATTTAAGCTGAACCCTCTTTCTAAGCCCCCAGGTTTCTTCTCCATAGGTTACTACTGGCAAGATGAAGCTATTGCATACCTTCCTTTTGAAGGTTAATGGCAGATTACCATTCATGATTTCAGAATGCAACTCATACTCATTCTTCTAGGTATTTCACTCCTATGGTTTGGCTCCACTGTTACTACATGTCCAAAGTAGACATAATCTTCACAACTTCCAGCATCGCTTCACCTCTCGCTAATGGCCGTTTTCTGCCGACACTGTTACATAATACTTTAATTTTGTGCATAATAACTTTCAGACCTACTCTTCTGCTTTCATTGTTCACTACAGTATTCTTGAGCTGTAATTTGTCCCGGAGTTACTCGTCAAGGTAATGTCATCAGTGAATCGCGGGATACTAAGGTACTCTCCGTTTAATCTTATCCCTAGTTCTTCCCAAGCTAGGTTTCTGAAAACATCCTCTAAGCGCATGGTGAAAGCAATGGAGGGACCCAGTCTGCCTGCCTTGCACCCTTCCCTATTAGGATTCTTTTTTTTTCTATTGAGAACTATGGTGGCTGAAGATTCGCTGTAAATTTTTTACAGTATGCAAGGTTCTTCGATGTCCTATTTTGTAGTGTGTGCATCACTGCTGATATCTGGACTGTCAAACGCCTTCCCGTAATATGTAAAGGCAATGTACTTGGGTTGATTGGTTGTATTCTGCGCATTTCTCTGTTACCTGATTGATAGTATTAACATGGTCTATTGTGGAGTAGCCTATTCGAAATCCTGCTTGGTTCATTGCTTGCCTGGACTGTAATGTAACGCCAACTCTATTATCTATTATATCTGTAAATAGTTTGTAGAGAACGGACAGTAAGCTGATCAGCTTGTAAGTTTCAAGTCCTCGCCTTTCTCATGACTTAAGATTTTGTTGGTATTCCTCGAAGATTTTTGTACCATTCCCGTCAAGAGAGACTTCGTACATTAGGTTGTCAGTTTTTCTAACACAATTCCTCTACCATTATTCAGAGGGGTTGTTGTTACCTTATTCTCCCCAGTGGCTTCGCCTCTTTGCACTCTTTTTAGGTCTTTTGCTTACTTCCCTGGTCATTACTTGTAGGATATCGAATTCGTTTGGGATATTAATGCTTTTTACGGTGTAATCCAAGTTTAATTAGTTCTTTACAGATCTCTGTAAAAGCCTTCCGCCACCACAACTATCCAGTTCACATTGGTTATGATATTGGCTTCTTTGTTCCTTAATGCATTCAATAATTTTTTGCCCATGCACAAGTCTGCTTTCGCAGCTTTTAGGCTTCTGCGGCTATTTACAGCCTGCCTAATTTTCTTCGTGTTCTACCTTCTCATTTAGACAAGGTTACGCCTCTCGATTCGCTTTGAAAACTCCTCTAGCTCTATTTTTTCAGTTGCATTTGAGGTTTTCATGGTTTATGTTTTTTCATAGGATTTTTCTCGTTTCCTGAGATAGTTTGCCAGTGTCCTGTATAGTGCCTTTATACCCTCCGGCTTCCAATGCACACTCTTTGATGATTCTAGTAAGATTATCGTTCTTTTTGTCAACGCTAGCATCAGTTCGCTCGTTTAGAGGTTCAAATACACTCTGAAGTGAAACTGAATTTCTGTACTTTTCCTCTTTTTGCTAGATCGGTTATTCTCTTTCTGCCCATAGGTTTATGCCTCTGATTTTTTAAACCTAAGGGAATGCAAGTCTTCACCATTCTATGGTAAATGTATCAGATCTTGTCAACCAGTTTTACGTCCTGTAAATGCCAGGGTGTGCAAACAGAATGAAGTCAATTGAATTTTTATTTTTGCTAGTAGGACTTTGCCACGTTCACTAATGGTTAGCCAGTTTTCTGAAGAAAGTATTCACGATCAGAAAATTATAACGTTTTCGAACTCTACTAATATTATCCATCTGACATTTCTAGAACCGATGCTTATTCCTCCACAGCATGCTATGCGGCGTGTTTCTTGCCTACTTTGGCATTCAAGTCGTCCTTCAGTATACTCTCTTTTTACTTTATTAATGACTGACTCTACGTCTTCATTGAAATGTTCAACCAATTGATTATCATGGCTCGATGTAGGTGTGCAGGCTTGTACCACCTTCATTATGTACTGTTTTTAAACGTGACTATAACAAAACTCTTTTACTGATGCTCTAGTATTCCTATATGTTGCCAGCGATATTCTTGCAGATAAATAGCCTCACGCCTAGATTTTTTTTCTGTCAACTAATCCGCAGTAGCATAAAGTGAGTTCGTTCTTGAGCACTGTATAAGCTTCACATGTACTCTTTTCTTCTGTGAGCCGTATTACACCCTATTTAACGCTCTCTGATTCCTCAAACAGCAAAGATGGAGTAGCTTCACTAGATAGCATTCTAGCGTTCGAAGTAGCCGAGTTCCGATTCCAATGGCGGCCTGTCAAGTTCCAGGTATTCTGAGCGCCCTCTGCTGCATCGCATCTGTGACAACCGCTTTGGACCGTAACTTCACAGCCGCTGGGCACTGAGGACCAATGGATGATTGGTACTTTCATAAGGGAAGTATAGGCCATGTACTGCAGCAGCGTGGCCAATCCTGCTCTGGTTTAAAAGTACAGTACTGGCAGGTGGTCGCCACTGTGGCTGCCGCTCAGACGTCTTCTTTTTTTCGTTTTTTCTTTTTTACCAACTTCTTTGTTACGCGTCTTGAGTAAATAAACCATAGAGAATGATACAGCATCTGCATTTAAAGCGAATTTTGTCATTGCATGCTAGGCTCTTGTTCTATCTCTAAGTAGAGGGTTCTGGCCCACTTTATTAGCACTCGTGAATACCACCTGACAGCATATCAGCTCGATGCTTCACAAAAGTCGTAGCTCACCTGGCCTTTTCTTAACTGTTCGGAAGTCCGAATTCCACTGAAAAATAAAACCGGCACACTTTTAGTCTTCTACTATGAGATCGTAGGCTGGCTTAGTTCCAAGCTCAGTTTTGACATCGTTGGCTTCTAAGTGTCGGCAGTGTCGGATGTTTGCTAATTTCGAGTGGTCGCACTCCTACTTTGACATTTGGTGTCAACTAACGAGCGGCACGCTCCTGTTTTGTGAACTAATTAGCTACATTTATGTGATAGTTACATTAAGCGTATACGTCACGGGTGGTTGGACTGCATGAGAAGTTTGCGGGACAAGCTTCTAGCTGCTAAAGAACAGATCGGCGCTGCCAATAAGGCTGCATCCTACTTTGCGTTTCGCAGTAGTAATTAAAACTCTTGTAAATCGATACAGTTGCGGTCTTCAGTCGGGAGTCAGGTATACGTACTAGTAATTGCATTTACGGCTTGCCTAACAACGCAGAATAGTGGGTGAAAAGATAAGGAGCAAAATATTTATTATTTCTAGTTCCAGAGAGCGGTTAGAGGCATGAAACTTTGTACAAAAGTAATGACAAGTTTGCATCACTCACCGCATAGTGTCAGCTTGAGTTGATTGACCCCTGCTACTACACACAACGATAAGTACACGCAAAACGTATAGATACGTAATTCTAAAAATCCTAGAATTTCTGACAATGTACTCAATATGTGACCCTGTGCAAAAAAGCACTCTGCCGACAATATGGTGCTGCCATGTGACAATGCCCCTGGATTTCGCAAAATCTCATGCGTCCCGCGACGGCACTACCAAATGGCGTCTATTCCCTTTGGCATCCTCCTGTCTTTTATCCATGTCAGCCATACGCAGCCCATTCAACATAGCAGAGCCACGGTGGAAAGCGAGGCAGAACATCACTCTGTTTTATTGCCCTTGCACGACAAACCCCATCATTCATTCAACATCGGCACTTGGCCGGTGGAAGACTGTCGTCTTTCCAGGACATTCGCAGCGAACTACGCAGATACGCAGTCATTTTTGTAACATTGTACCACATCAATTTTCCCATGCTGATGCGCCTGATAAACTTTTTGGGGATTTATGAAGAAAAAACATCAAACTTTTCTGTTCTTTTTACATAGACTCACATGCATGCACGCGTACGAGCGCCTGAAGATGACCTTGTGCCCTAATTATTCACTTCGCGAGCAGTAAGGCACAAGGGTGCAAAAGACCTTTCTTTTAGAAACGTTTTTGCTTGCCCCTTATGTGCACAGTTTCGTGGTGAAGTTGTTTGATCGGTACGTAAAAAGAGTTTTTGAAAAGATATAGTGCCTTTGTTGCGGGGTGTACAGAGTGTCCTGCGTCTGCACTGCAATAATGCATAGATGTGCACAACCTTGACACTGTGCTTATTGAACCTCAACAAAAAAAAATTGATATCGGGCAGGCAGGCAGGCCGTGTGTAACTTGCGGTGAGGTCTTTTTCGCCTAGGAAGGTAAGTTTAGCAGTGAATCACCTGTGCTTTTTTTTTCCTACTGTAACTATGCTAACAGCAAATAATTTTTTGTTGCAGTGCGTTTTTTCAGGCATTATTGTGGCTCCGGGGAACTCTATGACAAGTGTCTTCTGCACTGTGGCCAATGTCGTTATTAACATCCTCAGCAGTGGACCACTGAAAATCGTGGGCTCTGTGATGAGTGAGCTGGAGAACGCCATCGGAATGCAATGTGAGAACGTTCGCCTCATAAGATTGCTTGCTCGTAGGGCTCGTGTGTGAGAATTGAGCTATCATTCGCCGAGCGAAGTGAAAGAAAACAAGAGTGGCACAGTTATGCCCCACACACGTATTTACCCAATGGATTCTAATTCGGAATGAAGCAAAACCTATCTAACATTTGAAAAAGTGCGTCAATCAACGTAGGTTGGTTGCTTTGCAGTGGCGTAGCCAGGGCTCGATGCACCCCGTCCGTGTACTCCCTCTCCCCCCACATTGTTTTTCGCCATGACACACAGAGCGTGAAGAAACGTCGCCTCTCCACTCCCAGAAAGAAATTTCTTCAAGCGCTCCTGGTGGGTTACGTTGGTTGGTGCCTCTTGTACAAAGAATATTCGCTTGCCAATCAAACAGAACTCCTTGAAATGTTCGCCTTTGAGGCATAAGTAACAATTGGACGACCCCTTGCAGTAACTTGCTGCAGTTGGAGCAGTAACGTATATATTGAGTAAGTCAATTACACTATTACGGTTTGATGTGTTTATATAGCTCAACATATTCAAGTTGTGTTCTAAAGAAAAGCCTGAAGTAGTGCTCGGGAAATGTCAGAATATTTTTCAGAGTACTCATCTGGAAATCTTTTGATGCGCCCACGTGTTTCAGACGCCACAACAGCGTTCCAGTGCCAGCAATTTTTGTTCTTGTTTTGTACTTTGTGGCAGGAAGCGTCTCTTAGCATGCACAATTACCCACTTTCCTAAGAAAAGGTTAAAATAGTCAAAGAAAATGGTTATGTTTGCTTGATATAAGGAATGGCCTTCTGCAGTAGTCTTTTTTCTGAAAGGCCCAGCTAGAGATTTTTCTTTTTGTTTTTTTGATAAAGTATCCTATTTCACCTCAGCATCTCTTTTTTAGTGTTCACACGTACAAGCACAATAACAGTAATCGGATGCAGGCTCCACCTAACATGGCACTTCGTTTTCTGTGGGGTATAAATGTTTCTGATATGGATGGTGATTTCGATGTAGTAGCAACGACTGGCTAGAAAATCTACGTGGACGTTAAGTCAATTTTAAAGTGACAATGCACCTTTCTAAAAGATTTTGCGTATGAAAGCATTCAATTTTGGTTGTTAGTTTAGACTACACTTTGCCTACGTTTCGCATATACAGTGTATCACAACACTCCCACTCACCTGTGAAATTGCAAGCCGGGATAGAAAACGAGCATATGCAACAAACCACAGCGTTAAGTAAATATATCCACATTATTAATTCGAAGAACCAGGAAAAACAAACCCTTTCTGTTATGTGCACTGAGGTGTCCCACAATAAACCAGCCCCATACATATACTTTGCTGACAACTTCAATATTTAGGCAGTGACTTTGATTCAATTTCTTTGTTGGCAATTTCGCATAACCAACACATCCAATTTGACCAAAACAATTTACATTGCCAAAGCCGAGAACATGGCTTTAGGTCTGTAAAACGAGAACAAATTCTTCAATTCTGCTGTATGGTTGCTCTACCAGAAGAGTTCCTACAGAATCCCCCATTTTCACTATGCTCAAGTTCTCAATCAACGTCCGATAATTTATTTCTACTGCATGAAAAACCTTCTATGTAGGAGTAATGATATATTA